TGCACAACTGTAATCCCAGCTACTCAGGAGGCTGAGGCACAAGAATCGCTTGAACCTGGGAGGCAGAGGTTGCAGTGAGACAAGATCACGCCACTGCACTCCAGCCTGGGTAACGGAGTGAGACTCTATCTCAAAAAAAAAAAAATTACATTGAATTTGTAGATCACTTTAGTAGTAACTGATATCTTCATTATATTAAATCATGTTAGCCATGATCACAGTTCTTTTCTCCAATTATTTAGGCCTTCTTGATGGTATTTCAATATATTTTTACAAACTTATCCCAAAAAAGGGCTTATAGTTCTTTTGATATTTTATTTCTAGGTATTTTCTATATGTTTTTAGGGGTCTACAAATGCAGTTAACTTGTTTATTGCATAGGGTATAGACTGAGATAATTCCAGCTGGAGTGTAGTGGCCAACTCACTGCAGTCTGGACCTCCTGGGCCCGAGTGATTCTCCTACCTCAGGCCCCGAGTAGCTGAAACAGCAGGTGTGTGCCACTATGCCCGGCTAATTTTTAAAATTTTGATAAAAACAAAGTCTCCCTATGTTATCTAGGCTGATTTTGAACTCCGGGGCTCAAGCAGTCCTCCCATCTTGGCCTCCCAAAGTGCTGAGATTACCGGGCCTGGCCTAGGAAAAGCCTTCCAGTTTTGGCAGAAGGAACAGGAAATGGTATTAACACCAAGAGAAACTGGGGCAATCTCTTCCTTCTGAGTGTTTATGCATACATACAAATATATGTGTATGTTTTCTTGCCTGTTTTTCCATGTCACAGCCTCTGGACAGTCTCACAGCAATAGCAGCAGCAGTGGAAGCAGTGGGGGCCTTCAGGTATCTAAAACTACAAGCGATAGGAACCTTCTTTTCTTATTAGAGTTGCTGCAGAGTGAACCCCCATTATTTTTTTTCCTCTTGCCACACCCAGCCATAGTTGCAGAAAGTACAAAGCCGAGGGAGATAACTTAAGCCCCAGGGTTATGACAAGAGAACTGAAGAGGGGAGCTCCAGGGAACAAGAAAGTATCAAGATCACAGCAAGGAACAAGTTCAAAAAAGCAATCCATGTTCAAGTTCAAAAATTCCAAAGTAAATAAGAAAAAACTCAGTTTTTATGAACTCCTAGGCTCTTCTGACCTGAATATATGTGGATCTGTCCGTAAATAACATATCAAAAACTAAAGTTTAACTTTTAGATTGAACTGGGTGGTGCAGACATAGGACAAATCCAAGTAATACTGCAAAGCCCTTGAAAACCAAACTGACGTTGGAATCAAAGTCCACAGGCTTGTTGGAACTTGCAGCCTGAACCTAACAGGGTCAATGCCTGTTCAAACTAAAGTATCAACCATCTGCATACGATTTATTTTATTTTATTATTTATTTTTTGAGACAGAGTCTTGCTCTGTTGTCCAGGCTGGAGTGCAGTGGTGCAGTTCTCTGCCTCAGACTCCCGAGTAGCTGGCATTACAGGTGCCCACTACTATGCCCAACTAATTTTTTGCATTTTTAGTAGAGATGGGGTTTCACCATGGTGGGCAGGCTGGTTGCGAACTCCTGACCTCATGATTCATCTGCCTTGGCCTCCCAAAGTGCTGAGATTACAGGCATGTAATCTCTCTACCAAGCCTGAGAGAGTTAATTCTTCTTTAAGTGTTTGATAGAATTTACTAGTGAAGCCATCAAATCTTCATCTTTTCTTTATTAGGAGGTTTTTGATTACTGATTGAACTATCTAACTCATAATTGCTCTGTACAGATTTTTCTGTTTCTTCATGATTCAGGCTTGGTAGTTTCATGTTTCTAGGAATTTATCCATTTTTTTCTAGTTTATCCAGTTTGTTGGCATATCATTATTCATAGTCACTTATGATTCTTCGTTGTGTTAGAGATGAGGTCTACCTTTATTGCCGGGGCTAGAGTATAGTTGCACGATCATAACTCACTGCAGTTTTGAACTCTTGGGCTCAAGCAATCTTCTGCCTCAGCCTCTCAAGTAACTGGGGCTATACTCGTGAACCACTCTCCCAAGCTAATCCTGACAATTTTACAGTTTCTTTGTTGCTATCTCTCTCTTTCTTTCTCATTTGATTTTTTTATGGTGATATGATTTGATGTCTTTCTCTTTGTCTTCAGTGTATCTACTAGAGACTTTTTCTTCGTGGTTACCATAAGGCTTACATAAAACATCTCATAGTTATAATGGTCTATTGTAAGATAATAATAATTTTAGGCTGGGTGTGGTGGCTCACACCTGTATTCCCAGCACTTTGGGAGGCTGAGGTGGGAAGATCGCTTGAGTCCAGGAGTTTGAGACCAGCCTGGGCAACATACTAAGACCCTGTCTCTACCAAAAAATTTAAGGATCACTTGAGGTCAGGAGCTTGAAACCAATCTGGCCAACATGGTGAAACCTTGTCTCTACTAAAAATACAAAAAATTAGCTGGACATGGTGGCGGGCACCTGTAATCCCAGCTTCTTGGGAGGCTGAGGCAGGAGAATCGCTTGAACCCGGGAGGTGGAGGTTGCAATGAGCTGAGATTGCACCACTGCACTCCAGTCTGTGTGACAGAGCAAGACTCCATCTCAAAAAAAAAAAAAAATTTAACCAGGTGTGGGAACACACACCTGTAGTTCCAGCTACTTAGGAGGCTGAGGTAGGAGGATCCCATGAGCCCAGGAGGTGAGACTATAGTGAGCACTCTGGTCTGGGCTACAGAGCAAGACCCTGTCTCTCAATAATAATAATAATAATAGTAATAATAATAGCTTAACTTTGACCACATATAAAAAGTCTACACTTTAACTTCTCCAACTATGTTATGTTATTGATGTTGCAATATACATCTTTTATATATTGTGTATCTATTAGTAAATGACTATAGGTTTACTTATTTTTAATACCTGTGTCTTTCAGCCACCACACCCAGCCTATGTGTATGTTATAATAATTTACAAAACTATACCTTCCTTACCCCTCCATTTCCTTGTATAAGATTCGGTGACTTTCAAGTCTTCTAGTTACTCTCCCTGCCTTTTTTTTTTTTTTTTCATCTTTTCATACAAGTCAGGGGGTCAGGCACAGTGGCCCACCCTGTAGTCCCAGCACTTTGGGAAGCCAAGGAAGGTGGATCACCTGAGGTTAGGGGTTCAAGACCTGCCTGGCCAACATGGCAAAGCCCCACCTCTACTAAAAATACCAAAATTAGCTGGGCCTGGTGTCGCGCACCTGTAATCCCAGTTACTCTGGGCCCATAGCACTTCAAAACACTACACTTGCCTAATGTCCCTGCTTTTATATGGAAATCCTTCCATAGTACTTACAAACATTAATCCCAATCCTCACAACAGTTGTAAGGGTTATCATTCCTGTTGTATTCGACAGAGAATGGCAGGCTTGGAAAATTGAACTAATTAGCGCTAGAAAATAAAGCTTATAATTATTCAAGTTTGAGTATAAAACGCAGGTAACTGAATCTAGTATCTTTGATCTGTCAGTACAATACACTGCCTTCCATTTTATTCTCTCTCCTTCTCTTGAACCTACAAGTGTCTTTTCTGCCAGTCATTCATCACTACTATAGTGCTCATGTACTTGTTAAGCCCCCTCTTCTCTTTAACAAAGGTCAGCATCTCAGAATTCCAAGACAAACACTATTTTCATCAAACTCCAAACATATACCATATCTGTCCACAAATGAGTCCTGTCTACTACTCATACTATGTTCATTCCACACTAGACTTTTCTTAAGCTAGGCTTTTTTCTGGATTGCCATCCTCTAGTTCCTTATCATTTTTTAAAGAGCTCTCGATGTCCAGTTACAGAATCCAGAGCAGGGCTATCCAACAGAACATTCAGTGGTGACAGAAATATTCTATATTTGTGATATCCCGTATACACTTCCAGTACAAAAGCCACTAGCCACATTTGGCTGGTGAAAATTGGAAATATGAATAGTGTGACTGAGAAACTGAATTTTCAAATTCAACTATTTCAAAATAAAATGCACATTTTATTTAAATTATTTGAAATTTTAAAAGCCATATGTGGCTACTGACTACTCTATTAGACAATGCATATCTAACCAGGGGCTGGCAAACTTTTTCTTAAAGGGCCAAATAGTAAGTATTTTAGGTTTGCAGTTCACACATTCTCTGTCATACCTACTCACTTCTGCCCTTTTAGCGCAAAAGCATCCATAGATAATACATAACAAGTGTGGCTAATAAAACTTCATTTGTAAAAATGGGTCCAGGGCCATAGGCCATAGTTTACCAATCCCTGGGGATCTTCCATTAGGCATATTCATTTCATCCTGACAATAGCCTTGTTAATAGTTTGATCATTCATTCATTCATTTATTGAGACAGGATCTCACTCTGTCACCCAGGCTGGAGTACAGTGGTGTAGTCTTGGCTCACTGCAACCTCTGCCTCCTGGGTTCAAGCAATTCTCTTGCCTCAGCCTTCCCGGTAGCTAGGATTACAGGTGAATGCCACCATGCCTAATTTTTGTATTTTTAGTAGAGACAGGTTTCACCATGTTGGCCTGGCTGATCTCAAACTCCTGACCTCAAGAGATCTGCCTGTGTCACCTTCTCAAGGTGTTGGGATTATGGGAGTGAGCTACCACACCTGGCCATTTCCCATATTTTACAATTCATACTGTGGGATGCTGTTATGTGTCTGTGTGTGTATATGCAATGAGAAATTGCGCATGGGTATGATTAGAGTCATCCTTTAACAAGGGACATATGACTAAGGCATGATGTGTATGTTTAGCAAGCTTCCGAAAGGAATTCTGACCTATAGTAACATTTGGGAACCTGTGACTTACTGTGTTTTCCTAATCACTCCCCTCATCTTATGATGTAACCTGATTTCTCTTTTTTCCTCATCCATTTGTAAAAAACAGTTCAGTTAAATTCTCCCATATTGACTGAAGTTTTGTTTCTCACAAATAAAAACATGATGATTGCTTTCATATTTTCTTTCAGTCCTGGAATCAAGATGTGAGACCAAGAAATTATTTCTGAAGAAAGAAATTTATGAAATAGAATCAACCCACTGGCAAATAATGGAAAAACTCACAAGACATGATTTTCAGTGCTCTAGGTTCAGAGATGATTGGGAATGTAATATCCAGTTTGAGAAACAGCTTGGCTCTCAGGAGGGACATTTCAATCAATTGATATTCACTCATGAAGCTCTGCCCACTTTGAGGAAGCATCCATCCTTTACATTACAGCAAATCATTAATAGTAAAGAGAAATTCTGTGCATCTAAAGAATATAGAAAAACCTTTAGACATGGTTCACAATTTGCTACACATGAGATAATTCATACCATTGAGAAGCCCTATGAATGTAAGGAATGTGGAAAGTCCTTTAGACATCCCTCAAGACTTGCTCATCATCAGAAAATTCATACTGGCAAGAAACCCTTTGAATGTAAGGAATGTGGAAAAACCTTTATTTGTGGCTCAGACCTTACTCGACATCACCGAATTCACACTGGTGAGAAACCCTATGAATGTAAGGAATGTGGGAAGGCCTTTAGTAGTGGTTCAAACTTCACTCGACATCAGAGAATTCACACAGGTGAGAAGCCTTATGAATGCAAAGAATGCGGGAAGGCCTTTAGTAGTGGTTCAAATTTTACTCAACATCAGAGAATTCATACTGGGGAGAAACCCTATGAATGTAAGGAATGTGGCAATGCCTTTAGTCAGAGCTCACAACTTATTAAACATCAAAGAATCCATACAGGTGAGAAACCCTATGAATGTAAGGAATGTGAGAAGGCTTTTCGTTCTGGCTCAGACCTTACTAGACATCAGAGAATTCATACTGGGGAGAAACCCTATGAATGTAAGATATGTGGGAAGGCCTATTCTCAGAGTTCACAGCTTATTAGTCATCATAGAATTCATACTAGTGAGAAACCCTATGAATACAGGGAATGTGGAAAGAACTTTAATTATGGCACACAACTTATTCAACATCAAAATTTGTACTGGTGATAAACCAGAATATGTGAAATGTATAGGGAGGCTTTAATTATGGCTCAAAATAGAATTTATCTGCTTAATAATTCCTCTAGGCTGGATAGAGTGGCTAACATCTGTAATCCCAGCACTTTGGGAGGCCAAGGAGGGCAGATCACCTGAGGTCAGGAGTTCGAGACAACCTGACCAACATGGAGAAACCCCATCTCTACTAAAAATACCAAAAAAATTAGCCAGGTGTAATGGCGCATACCTGTAATCTCAGCTCCTCAGGAGGCTGAGGCAAGAGAATCGCTTGAACTCAGGAGGCAGAGGTTGTGGTAAGCCACAATCATGCCATTGCACTCCAGCCTGGGCAATGAGCAAAACTCCCTCTCAAAAAAATAATAATTCAGGATAATGTAGAAGCATTTTATTTGCAGACTACAGCTTATTCAGCCTGGGAAAGATAATGTTGGAGAAACACCCTATGATAGAATGTACTTTGGAAACCTTTAACTAAATACTCACTTCCCTTGACATCAGATAATTCAGTCTAGCAATATGATAAGTAGTTCAGTCTGTCGTGCTGAAAAGGACTGCACTTTTAACACCTTTCTAACCTTAAACATCAGAGAATTTATGTGGAAATGTAGTCCTGTGATTTTCATTTTTTTCCCCTGTCTAATTGTTATATTATTAGTATTTTAATCCCATCTGTTTACATCCTGATTTGTAAAATATTTTTAATATTTTAAAATAGTACCTGGGAGAAATGACCTCTTTATTTTTGAAGATGGCTTATTCTTTTTGCTCTTTATAACATTAAGGCTTCCTTATTGTAAAAATGTTCATGAACAGTATTTCACTCAAGAGATCCTTTAATATCTTCATGGTATTTTGTTTGTTACTGTAGTATCACTTATGAAATCCTGTTGATGGATATTGTAGTCTCCTCTAGATATTTTGCCATAATACATGCCAAAATACAAGTCCCTGATGGGCATTCTCCTTAAGCACATCTTTGTATCATGTCTTTTTTTTTTTTTTTTTCCCTTTTTTGAGATGGAGTCTTGCTCTGTTGTCCAGGCTAGAGTGCAGTGGTGCAGTCTTGGCTCCCTGCAGCCTCTGCCTCCCTCTGCCTCCCGGGTTCAAGCAATTCTTCTGTCTCAGCCTCCTGAGTAGCTGGGATTACAGGTGCCTGCCACCACACCCAGCTAATTTTTGTATTTTTAGTAAAGACAGGGCTTCACCATCTTGGCCAGGTTGGTCTTGAACTCCTAACCTCGTGATCCACCCACCTCAGCCTCCCAAAGTGCTGGGATTAGAGGCATGAGCCACTGCACCTGGCCGTATCACATCTTTTAATTGCAGAAATAATATGTGAATACATCTTTCTTATAAAAGATGCAGGCATTACAAAAAGGTACCCTTTGACCATCATCCTTGTATCCATTCCATTCCCAAAAAATAGTCTTTATCAGTTTATTATTTATTCTCATCATTTTTCTGTTTATATACATGTGTGTCTCAGTAAAAATTATAAAATATGGGGTAATTATAATACCTACCTTATAATGCTTTGTGAGGACTGATATAAGACACATAAAGTGCTTAGAATTGTGCCTGACATAATAAATACATACTCACTGAATGTTAGTCATCATTATTGTATTCATCATCATCAGTATTATTATTTGTAGAAAGGCTTTTTAACTTCTACAGAACTTAGTCACCATTAGGCAGGGTATTTGACTGAAGAAAGACCCTTTGAAGTTAACAAGTTAAGAAAATTTCCCATCATCACATACTTCTATGGAACACGAAATAATCCTAGGTGTTCGTGGGGAAAGTACTGTGAATAATGTATGTGAAGAATTTTATTCTGACTGATAACTCTTTCTGCCACATTATATACCCAGTGAAACATAAAACATAAAATATTGGTGTAATAATGAGGAAAAAAAGTATGAAAAGAGAAAGGGCATCATATTTTAAAAATGGACAGGGATAGCTGGGCGCGGTGGCTCACCCCTGTAATCCCAGCACTTTGGGAGGCCGAGGCGGGTGGATCACAAGGTCAAGAGACCGAGACCATCCTGGTCAACATGGTGAAACCCCGTCTCTACTAAAACTACAAAAAATTAGCTGGGCCTGGTGGCGTGTGCCTGTAATCCCAGCTACTCAGGAGGCTGAGGCAGGAGAATTGCCTGAACCCAGGAGGTGGAGGTTATGGTGACCCGAGACCGTGCCATCGCACTCCAGCCTGGGTAACAAGAGCGAAACTCTGTCTCAAAAAAAAATGGACAGGGATAAAAACATAGTTAATAGATTTTAAAGGTTCTGTTGAATATAATGCTTTTTTTCTGATATGTTTGAAAATTTAAAATGATTTTAAAGGAAAAACAGACATCAATATTGACTCCAAGAAAATTAGAATTTTTTTTTTTTCAAGATGGATTCTCACTCTGTAGCCAAGGCTGGAGTGCAGTGGCATGATCTTGGCTCACTGCAACCTCTGCCTCCTGGGTCCTGGTTCAAGCAATTCTCCTGCCTCAGCCTCCCGAGGAGCTAGGATTACAGAGCATGCCACCATGCCCAGCTAATTTTCAGGAGGCAGAGGTTGCAGTGAGCCAAGATCGTGCCATGGCATTTCAACCTGGGCGACACAGTAAGATTCTATCTCAAAAAAAACAAAACAAAACAAAACAGCCCACAGATTGGCTTTGTTTGGGGTTAGGTTAGTGTTTTAAAATGGGCCCTCCCTGTGCTCAGAAAATGCTCAGCACAAGCAGCTCCCCACACTGGACAGATTGCATGCGTGGGAGGATGAAGTTTATGTCTGTAGATTTGTTATTTTATGCCCCACTTCCTTTTTTCTTAGATCCTGTGTAGAGGGGTCTCTCTGAACATTGTGTTACTTTGCTTTTTACAGGCATAAGGAAGTAAAATATTTCATAATAAAATTGAGAAAGGTAGAATGAGCAAAATACCTGCGAATGAGAACATTATTAAAGATGGACTATTCTAATGTTTTGCATTATCAAAATGAGAACAACCAAATGAAATTTTGTTTATATTCTTTTCTTGTGTGCTTATATCTTTTAGAAAGTTCCTCATCTAAAATTACAAAAATAGTGTATTTGCATCTAAATTCATGAAACAGTACCATTAAGGAAAAAAATGATTATTTTTGTCCTTCTCCGTTCCTCATTCCTTCCTGTGTCCATTTTCTTCTGAATAATGTTTAAAGGTTGTATATATTACCATGTATTTCTCCATGCTAAAACATTAACACAATTATTTATTTTATTATGTTTTTACCAAAAAAAGTAAATGATAACTATACATTTCCCTGAAATTTGCTTTTTTACATTCAACTGTACATTTTGAATTTTCCTTCAAGCCAATGGATGATGATCTAACAATCTTTCTGATGGTTACAGTATGTTCCACAGTATTCTTGTACCCATGCGTTTTCAACCATTTTCCCAATTGTGATATTATAGATTGTTTGCTCTTTTTTGCCAAGTGCTGCAGTAAACACTCTTGTATTCTTATTCTATTTCTATAAAATAAGTTTCCCAAGTCATTTCCACTGTTTTCTATGTTTCCTAAGAAGGTTTTCCTTCTAGAAGATTTCAGGGGGCAAGAGAATAAAGGAATAGAGTGCAGTTTTTCACATATGTGATTCTGTGAGTGTGTATACACAGAGATGTAATATTTTAATACATTAGGAATTGATTACTGTATATGAAATAATGCAGGGCCGGGCGCGGTGGCTCAAGCCTGTAATCCCAGCACTTTGGGAGGCCGAGGCAGGTGGATCACGAGGTCAAGAGATCGAGACCATCCTGGTCAACATGGTGAAACCCCGTCTCTACTAAAACTAC